TCATTCTTTCTTGTTTTAAGTTAGAAAAACATAGGGTGAGAATTATTAGGACTCGATCCTTTTATTTGTGAAAGGTCGAAGACATACATTACAACCTATCGAATCACATAATCAAAATCTCAAGATTTGATGGACTGAATTTTCTTTTGATTCGCTATTTTTTTCCCAACAGAGTTCCTTGGATTTTCCATTTGATTAGTGAACTTCAGGATGATGTACTCAATCTTTTATGTTATTGATTTTTTTTTCCAATACTTAAATTTTTCTAATTTAGTAAAATAAAAAAATATAAAAAAAATGGAAGTTTTTTTAACATTTTCACTTTTCACACAAAATCTAATAATATTAATAAAAATAATTCATATATTTTTATTTTCGATATTTCAATGGGGCCTAGGACCTCTCTGACTAAAGGGATGATTATTTTTAAACCACTCAATTAGATCAAACGGATTAGATCGACTATAGTTATCATTTATATGAATTTACATTAAATACTAGTTTTTGTCCCGTGCAATGCACAGGTTGTGTTATTTTTAAGGTAATATTAGCGTCTTGAATGCTAAGATTAGATGGGAAATTGTATTACAAATTTTTCACACATTTGTATAAAAGAAATAATATTTCATAGAGATATAAGGGTCAATCCAAAATTCAAACAAAGAGGAAGGGGAGCAATAAATACTATATGAAAAATGCATCCAAAAGGAAAGTCCAAATTTACAAGAGGGAAACAATGCATTTTACAACGTGGAATAAAACAATTTATTTGAAAATGAGATGTTCGCAGGTTTCTTGTTTTTATCCAGTTTCTTGTTTCCTAAACTGACATAGAAATATAGCAAACGCTCCTTACAATTGAAATAAAAACACAAAAGCAAGTTGCAATAATTAGAAAGATTTTATCTTTAAAACTAACTGCAGCACTTTCACAACAACATTTAAGTTTGAAATTTTCTTCTCATATATAAGAATGAGAGGGTCGTCCAATTCCTGCAGTTGTTAGAGAACTTCTTACTACACCTGCATCCAACAAGGAGTTCATTTTTTCAATAATAAATATTTTATTGCTAGTAACAACATTAGTAGAGAGACTT